CGTCGTTGACTGGGCAAAGTAATTTTCCATTGATCACAAACATATAGGAAAGTTCAAGAAATGTAATGTCATAGAATTTTTTATTAATGTGCTTGCAAAAGGGAAGTAAAACCAGTTTTAAATTTGTAGGATTTCAACTTCAAACATATCCAATTTATTGAATAATTACCATACATAGTAAAAACTTGAATCAGAAACTCTTAAAACTTTCATTACTCTTTCTTTGACTAACTTGAATTATTTTGATATATATAACAGTAACATTTTTCTTTACGCTAACATGGCAATTGAATAGGTGACTTGAATGGGTGACTCAATTTTAATTATTAGCAAATATTTTTATGAACTCTGATCCTAATAGTAATGACATTTCTGATGAAAAACAAAAATAATTATTTAAATCTTTCACCCAGCATATTCTGGTGTCAAAAGTAGTACATTCCGCTAATTTAAGAGGCAGGATTATTTATGCAAATTTGGTATCTGTAGGTAATCACAAAGTATGACTTTATTTTGCACAAATAAATCCACAAACACACCCTTCAAAATATATAATAGATAATAAACTACTTGTAAGTTTTTCAGTATAGATAGTATTGGTTAAAAATACATGCCCCACTAAAAGTTGAAATACCACTTCAATTAAAAAACAAAACAAAACCGAACATTGAGGTATGTGAGGTTTAAGATGGGAAGATCCTGTGATTTGAATATTCTGCTACCCTTTTCACTTGTTACATATGATACCACTAATAGTTCAATCTAAATAGTTGCTCCTGTATTCCACTTATGTGGAATAGAGATATCTTAAGTGGGGGAAAAATCACTTCATCCAAGAATACTGGGATAGGAAACATTATAAATGGCAAGTCATTAACCCAAAACAGGAAGTTTGTTGTACCTTTATAGTTCAAAATATCCTGTCCAACTAAGTAAAATTTAAGTGAGAATAGTGGCATTGAATGAGTCAAAACACTAGATGACTACACTCAATTCTGTCTTTTTTGGTAATTTTTGAAGCCTTTCTTGCCTGGAAAGATTATGCACATCTGGAGGTTTTTCTTAAGGGGACCAGAGAGTGGTAGAATTGGCTGTAAAATTTAAACTGAAGGTTAAGTTAAAAAGCCACATTCAAAAGAATGGAATAAAAGATGTCACATATAAAGTTACAATGCAAATTCACTATTGAGAAGTTACTGAAAACCATTTATTGTACAGTTAAGGGTTTTCCACCTATAGTTAGCCTACAAGCAAGCCATCAGTGCAGTGCTTTTTGAAGTTTTCTTTGCTATTCTGCCATTTAGTTGTTTCCTGTGCTTAAGGGTTGTGTATATGGGTGCAAATGGTAGTTTAAAAAAGTACTTTATTGCATTTGTCTTGGGCCACATTTGGCTTGTTTCAAGTCAAGAGAACTTTATCTATAGGCCCAAATTTCCCTTTTTTAATGGCAAGTCAGAATAATGCTTCATATGGTCACTTTGTCACTGATCTGGTGTCTTAGGCCCAATTGCTGCTTTATGAAAAGCAAACTTTGAGCGTATGGCTGAAAAAAACATGATTGGAGAACAGCATTAGGCGGGTTGTATTGAAAGTTATGAGACAAAGCAATGCAATCTGCATAGTTACTATCTGATTTTGATACATTTTTTCTTCTAGTAGATACTGAAATTTGATTGCTTAAAAATGAAACAGCACCATGGGTGTTCCATTTCCCAAGTTAGAAGACTATCGCCAAGATGGCACAATTTTAGGAATTTCTATTGACTCAGTCAATACCTTCAAATAATAACCTAGCTGTCATATCCCTGGTATGATTGGGTTTGATAACTTGTGTGCTAGAAGCAGAGAGGGGGACAGTTGTTGAAAATGTAATGTGGTATAAAAATTAGGCTTAGTTTCATCTTAATTTGAAACCCATCACTGTCATAGATGGCAGAAGTACTTGTCACCAGAGATGAAACCCTTCTCTATTTAATTTTTAATAGTTCCCCATGCAAATTTTTAGAAGTGAGTTAATTATTCTCAAAGTTTCTTGAACTCTTATTTTCCCCTGTAGTATTTATTTGTATTTTTGAAAACTTACCTGTCATAGTGCTGGATGTGCCTAAGTAATTGATGGCAAAATCAGATGTGGCAGGTATAATTTATATTGAACCAAATTAATGAAGCTTTAGTTCTAAAGTTAATGTTCAAAATGTCTTCAAGGTACATGGTTGAATATTATCTGTTTAGTTTAAGGATAAGATTATCTCTATTCCAACAGCATTTTTCTTTTAATTTTTTATAAAGAGTCCAGTCAGATGAAGAGTGTCAAATGGAGTCTACGAATGAAAAACCAAGATGGCAGTTCTACTGTTGATTGAGAGGTTGAGAAACTGGACTAATGCATGAGTGCTGTGATATATACATCCAAGACAGGGAAATTTTAACATGGACTTCATTGTTCCTAAACCAAAGAAGATTTGGTTTGTGATCATCCTACCAAAATGGACTTGAATTTCTAAATGGTGTTGTATAAGTGAACAGAAAATGGATTTGTTTTTAAGGGGGTGGGGATGGCAAAATTTTATACTCAGAAATGTATCCTTGACGGGGGACTCAAGTTGATATGCCTGATATTGCCATCTATTTGGGAAAAATGTATTGTTGTTTTAAGTGACTTATTTAATAAATTTGTTTTATACTTTATTCTTGGTTTGTCTCTTTCCTGACTGAAAAATACTTAGAATGTGTATTGATGCTTACTTAGGTCATTAAATTCTTTGATTATTGGATTCTGAAAATGACAATTGTCTTAAACATTGAAGGTTTTGTAAGATTTACGAAATACTTCATTTGAAACATGGCTATATTTGGGTTCAAAGACTTCAGTTTCTCAATTTCTAATATTTTATTTTTACTTATCCATGCTGTTAAAATGTTTAACTTTCTATATTCAGTATTTGAACAGTTGTCAGTCCTTTTGTTTAACTTTCCAAAGTTTTTATAGGATGGTATAAATGTCAAATAATGGCAAACTAGACAACATGTATATTCATTGGCTGGCAGTGGAGGGTCATCCTGAACTATCCTTGGTCTGGCTGAGGAACTCTTCTGTGTTGCTGTAATCTGTTTTTGTTACTTATGTGGACGGGTGTGTACACACACACACACAACCTTTTATAGTGAACTTCAAATTAGTTGCCTGAATGACTTCCTTTCTTCCTTCAGGTGCTTTGTGTTGGAAACTTGTTACGTTTTGGATTGTGTTTAAGTTACACCATTCTAAAAAAAGTTATTTCTTTGGCGTTTAGTTCCTTAGCGTAAAGAATGTTAAACCAATGTATTTAAAATGGATTAGATTTAGTCTGTACAAATGTTTATTACAGTTCATGGCCATCCTGTATACTGTGAATTTCTTGTTGACTTGATAATACAAATAGATTGCACAGTGTTAAGTGGAACTATTTTGATCTTTATTACTAGATAAACACAAAGGTCTACCTATATGATGTAGTATTGTAAAATTCAGTTATTTCATAGATCACTTTGCCTCTTACATTTCTTGTATGTTCAACCTCTGGCTACAGAGAAACATACTTAAAATGTATCTTGGACAGGTAGCTTAACTTTTCTCATGTCTGAACACCATGCAGATTTGAGAGTAAATTCAGATAGTCTGGACAAAAGGAATCTCCAAGTGACAAATACTGTAAATTTGGCGCACGATCTGTTCAGCTCTTATTCTTTAAGATAAATTGTTGGAAATGTTCATTCTTAGTATATGATAGGCTATTCATAACTCTTGAATCTTGCAATGTTGAATGTACACTCTTCCCAGTCTTGTTTCTGCCATTTATTATATGGCAGAGTTGCATTTAGACAGTCTAAAAGACCGAGTAGTCAAACTAATTGACTTCCTTTGTATTGCTCAAATTCAGGTTGGAATTGGTGCTCTTTTCCTTTTTATAACTTTTTTTTTAAATTGTGCTGTGTAGAGGGCAGCTTTCTTCTATATATAATAATTCACCAGTCAATAGTGCACTATTGGTATGGCAGATCAAACTTACGCAACCTTCCTTTTAGTACACATTGGAGAGAGGGTGGATTTACAGGGCAAGAATGGCAAGGATGTGAAGTTGAAAGAAAGCAACTTGTTTTTATTGGTAGAACTTGCTGTTTGCCATTGGTTGGGACAGTGTACCACTTCTGATGCGCTTAATATAAGGCCAAATCAAAACTACTAAAAAAAAATCTGGTACACATGCCTGATTCCAGTATCTTGTAAAATGGACAATAAATGTGTGAAAAGTTCTGATGGCATAGGCTACTATTTTTGGTTGTTGGGGTGGAATAGTGGTCACTGGGAATAAGAGCATCTTTTGTGTTTAGATCCCCTCCAATTCCTGAATGAGTCATGTTTTCTCCACTGGGAAGTAGTATCTGAGAATTTACTTGGATTACAATGAATAATTACTTTTGGACCTTGACTTTCTCAAGATTGTAAAAAGTCCCTTTTAGGATGTTAAGGTCTATTACAAACAATAATGGGTTAAGTCATGGACATTACATACCAGAATGCTGTATTTTTTCATGGTGTATTGAATTAATTAAATTAAAATAACATAGCTATTTAATTTTGCTCTTCTCAATAACCACTAGGGAGGCGCTGTTGAGATGAAAGGGTTACTGGCAAACTGCTTTCTTTTGGTTGTTGTGACTTTCCATTTTTAAGCTTCAGTTATACACATTGTATGATAAGTGAAGGGGATTATTGATTGAACATAGATTTTTTTTTTCATTTTTTTTAATTGCTCCCCATTGGGTGGGGTTGACTTCCAAAGAGGGTTGTTGCTCAAGTCTGGCTATTAGTCCATCTTCCATTCTTTCAAAATGGCTTGTTACAGCACCACTTCCTGTCCAGGGAGGAAGTAATTTTAGCCCAAGGACTGAAATATTTAGCAAATCTTTAAAACAAAAGAAACAAATGACATTTCTTTCCTGCATTAAAAGGGTGCCTGAACCAGATGGGGTTAAGGTGCCCCCTCAGATGGGGTGGTCTGAAGAAGCCAAGGATGTGGGGGGGTGGCAGGCACCCTTTAGGTGGAGGCTATCTGTTTTTTTGGTAGAAATGAAGGGGTGGGTCTATGGTACATCACCTGAGTTGTGGGGTAAATGTAGAGAGTGTCAATCAAAGGCAGAGCTCAGAGCTGGGAAGGAGCTCTAGATGGCGGCTGTGCCTTAGAGAGAGCGCGCTGAGCTCCGTGCCTTCCCAACACTTTACGCAACTTTCCCTAACTTTCGGGCAGCCTCAGGGGGCCCCCACAGCCCCTTGCCTGTCCTAGGCACCGATCGGGAGGCAATTGAGGCTTTTTCGGGCAGAAAAGCAGTTTTTGAGGGCTCTCTTTTCGTGCCTTGCTGGAAAGAAGAAGCCGTGGAGAGAGCCCAGGTCGTTGTTTTTCCAGCTCTAGAAGCCATGGCGTACCTCCATTTTTGTGCGCTCTCCTAATGAGCTTTTCCCCGGGACATTTTTTCTACTAATTATCGCTGTTTTTGCTTTAACAGCAGTATATTTTTGGAAATTAGGCTCTATTTATTTTTTATTCTCTAAAACTATACAGTTGGCGTTTAACCTCTTAATATTTTGGATCTAATGTTTTTCCACTACCCGAAACTAATATCGGCTTGGTCCTGGCGGTGGTGCGTGAATCAGGTATGTGGGCAATTATTATTTTTCAGATTTCTGCTGGTTTTAAGTACTTAGATTTTTCGACCGACTTTAGCTGTATTGGGATGACGCAATAAAATACAGAGATTTTTTTTGCTGCTTCTGTTACTTTGGGAAAGTTTGCAAGATGCTGTTCTGGACTGTTTCTCTTCAATTTTTTTTCTTTTAAAATGAATATTATTGTTTTAAATGTCCATTTTCCTGTGCTGATCAGTGTTGTGTATTGTTACAACTATCATTGCAGCGTCAGGACTTTGTTCTTGATAACGAAAGCCGATGAAACAAACTGGGACCTTACCTTTCTTTCAACTTTTGACAGTAAATACCTGGGCACAGGACATCAAAGCAAACACAGATACCCTACACCCCCCTTAGTATTTAAGAATTAAAAGATGATGAGAAATGAGGACAAAAGCCAAGGAGAGGAGGGTTCCGTACACAGCAATGCATCGAGGTATGAGCTATCAACTTTATTTTATTTTTTAAAAACCTCTGAATACAATGTTTACCTTGACAGCTTTAGGTTACTGTCACTTCTTACTACAAAATATTTAACTGATTTTCATTCCCTTTTTTAAGGAATGACCTTGAGATTGTTAATATGCCACACCCTATTTTTTGGTAGCAATTTCTGAAAGTTGTGTTGTGACTTAAGGGCCCATGTCAGAATCAAAAGGTAATGTACCTTTATTCAAGGGAGCCCTTTTCTCTGTGTTAGGCTATTTTAGTTTCTGAATTTCAGTTTTTAGATTTTTTTGTGCTGTGAAAAACGACCTTGTCGTTTAAGCCATTGCTGCATTGCACCATTTTACATACAAGGCAAATTTTTCTTTGAAGAATCTCAGAAGTCTAAACTTTAACTGAGGGCCACACAGAAGCCTACTAGTAGTAAATTATAGTAAATAGACACTAGGGAAACTTATATGAATGAAAAAAAGTTCATTTTAAAATATAAACTAAAAAGTGCCTGTTTGACTGAGACTCCTTAGTTTATATTTTATTTGGGCTTACAGAACTTTGATACTCTTTAGGTATTTTAGGGTATTTTGATACAATTTAACCAAACTTTCCCCTGGTGGTGATAGTATTTCATGTTTATAAAATCTAACTTGGGATTGTTAATGGGAACCTGGTGTCTTTTGATTGCTTGTTTGATATATTTTTGCTCATAATGTCAAGTAATGATACTCTTTTTGGATATTCTATATATTTTATTTGATTTTAAGGAAGAGTACAAAATACTGAAAATACTGCTTATATTTGATAGACTTAAAAACATTATTTCCTTTGTACTTCATTTAGCTTTTAACAATATGTATCTTAAATGGTATGTTTGCTTAATCAAAAGTCTAAACTTTCCATTGCTCTTCGCTGGTTTGTCAATACATTGCATTTTGCTATTTTTGTTAACAGTGAATTAAATTATGACCTGTTTATTTTTCCCAGGGTATCTTTAAGTATTTATCAATAAAATGAATTCTAAAACTTTGGTATCAATATGTGCACTATGCAAGTTTAGCAGATGCACAATACAAGTCTCTGTCCAATAATATTTAACCTATTCAACATTATATATATATATGCACATGAAATATTCTGGTAGAATCATATTTATGGCCACACTATTTTGTGATAAAACTTAATTTTGCATGCTATTCAGGAATGTTTTTAAATTGCAATGTAATAAAACGTGTTAAAATTGAAATAGGTAAGTTTGATTTAAAATGTGCATTGTTAAACTGGTTTAGAAAAATACCAAATCACATGCACACAGTACTGTATATACAAGGACTTGTATTTTTTAAAAATGTTTGATATATTTTGTACCTTTATACTTTTGTAATTGTTTAAGTGCAGCTGCAGAAGTCCTGACAGTCAAGAAAAGTTGGTTTGCTTTTTTAACCTAAATGTCAATGAAAAATGTGATTTATCAGTAGTAAAAGCAGTAACAAACATTGTTATGGCAATAAGAATAAAGACATTTTAGGAGTCTCAGAACATTATGCCAAATATAAAATGAAGTCTAATACTTGGGTATAATGGATGAATAAGTGGAATCACATTGATATACATAACCTTTGGGTTTTTTCTGTCCCAGGGGTATAATATTTGCATAGCATCACGTGTAATTTTGCTCTTTTGTAGCATAGATCATGTGTCTAGATCATTGACTGAGCCATGTGTTGCACCTGTTGTATTAAATGTTTACTATTTTTTCCTCCCCTCCTTTCCCCACACTTCAGCAGAATGAACTTGTTGCTGGTAATATCTACTCACCTGGTGTGTGGGAGCAATTGATCAGAGCATATTTATAAATGGGCCTTATACTTTGAGCTGTGAGTCAGCTGAATGTCAAATGTACTTTTTACTTCCTGAGGTTGACTTTAAGATGTGAGGGAAATGATTTCTAGGAACTAAAGCCTTCAGCTTGCTTTACTGTTGCCCTGGTTTAAGATGTGAGGGGGAAATGATTTCTAGGAAATAAAGCCTTCAGCTTGCTTTACTGTTGCCCTGAAACACATTGATACCTGCACAGATCATGCTTCTGATTTGACTTCCCTTTCACAATTTTGGATTAGCTTAAAAGCATTAGGTAATATGTGAAGTCATACTACACAATCATGCCTTGATTGGAGGATAGCCATGGAAATGGATGGGTAAGGTGGATGTGAGTGACTGATGCTACTGAGGTTCTGAGAAGCATAATCACAGATGGGGGGAGGGGGAGGAAGATGATGTTTGTTTGGAAGAGTGGATTGGTATGACTGGGGATTATGACTGGAATTGAGATTCCTGCATTTCCAGCCCTAGGAAAGCAAAAAAAAGAACAAAAAACCCTAATGTTGAACAAACACAAACTCCTCTTGAGCTGACTTGAAACAGAGGTTATTCCTGAGTGTGGTGTTAGTATAATAACTCTTACAAAAAAATTAATACACATGTGGACCTTTCGTATGAATAGAAACAACTGTCAAGATTTCCAACTTAACTACTGAGTTCACTCGATTAACTTGTTTCATCCAGGATTACAGCTGGAGTATTGTCAAACTTGGAACTTTAAATAATGGAACAATGTTGGTAGTAATGCTCATTTAAAAATATTTTTCTTGTGTCTTCTGTCTTTTCTAATGTTTTTAAAAGGCAGATATGAGGAAAAGCAATTACAGTGCATTTTAATGTAACCCAATGTTAACAAATACTGGTGTCTGAAATACAAATTAAGATGAATACATTTCTGTAAATCTAGGAGTTGGCAGTCCTGTACAGTAATTGTATAAACGTAAGGACACACCCTATAGGTCCAACTTTTGATTAAATCCCTTGGAATTTATTACAGTTAACGTCTCACATCCCTAACCATAACGAAATGGACATAGGTTGTATTTTTACTATGTAAGAGCTGCAGAAGCATTAGTCAGTCATATTTGCCTCTAAATTGTACTTTGTCATAAAATTTGGAAATATTAGCTCTGGCTGAATGGATCCCAAGCCTGCTTTCTTTCCACTGAGAGCTTAGAAGTTTTAGATTTGTAATATGTCATCCCCTTTGCAAGCTGCTGCTTTGGTAGAACTGAACTACATAATGCAGCTGACACTGTAGAGCAGAATACATTTGGTTTGTGGCAGCCATTTTATGAAGTAGTTTCATATGAAAGAGGATTTTATCTGGAGAAAACAGTGAAACAAAAATTAACATCTACCATTGATGATGAAACCAGATAGTATTTCTTATCTTGCTAGTGCTCAGAAGGAAACTAAACTTCCTGGGAAGGAAGGAAAATTATTAAATGTCTGGCATTTTGGTGCAGGGCCAGTTCAGTCACAAAATGGCTGTTCCTTTGTGCCGCATAGCTGACAGACATACTGCATTGCACTGTGTGTACTCTGAAAACAGCAGGAAGTTGCTGGTGAGGAGTTCAAAGGCCATCTTGTTTTTTGCTGTGGAATCTGATTGGCTGTTAGCTCACTTGGTAACAGGAGTGTCAACACTCTGGCGCCTCTGTGGAAGAAGCAGAGCTCTGCCTTCTAGTGATGTCAGCATAAGCTTGCTTTTCAAAGCCTCTCCCATTCTTGGCAAAAGAGCTACTGCCGTCTCAGCCAGCAGGGAAAAAACAGCGTTTGCATGCACAGCTTTCATTCCTGTGTCTGAGAGAGTGCGTGGATGCATGCAGTAGACCTACAATCAATTTTCTCACCACCTCTTTATGAGCATTTTGAATAATTCATGATTTTCAGAAATAAATAGATTTCTGCTAAAATAAGCCTATTAATTTGCAGTTTTTTCCTCTTTTTTTTTTTTTTTTTTAACTTGGGATACCTGTTAGCCATTTGGTGTTCTTTGATTTTCTAGATTTTTTTTTTAAATAACTTTACAAATCTTAAAGGGATGAAGCCCCATTTCCCCACTTACCTCACGGATGAGTAAATGATTCTAGCCTGTTCATATTTTTCACTTAAAAAACCCAGGCAAAGCAATGCTGGACACTTGTAACAATTTTTTTAAACATTCTGGGTACAAATTTCTTCTTTGTTCTCAAGTTTGGAATCTATTTGGTGGTTTTTGAGTGCTTTTTGTACCAGTTCTGCAGTAGCACATAATTTGGTTCTCCATGGAGACTCAAAGGATTTTTATTAGCTTCCTCACTTTTTTAATGTGAAACACAAGCCCCAAATCCAAGCAATTCAAATTGTGCTTTTTTAATGTGAAACACCACAAGCCCCAAATCCAAGCAATTCAAATTGTTAGTGCCAGGGCAGAGAGAATAATGTGCAAGGAATTCAGGTTATCTGTATTGTGTAACTTACATGAAACACAGGAATAATTTTTTATTTGATAGTATCTTCCTCTTACATAGTGGTTTTTAAGGAAGTAAGTTCTCATTACAAATACACAATTCAGAGATTTTAAACTACTGTTCTATTTTTTGAGCATAGCTAGAACTGCGAAGAGTATATAGAACACCTTTAAACATTTGTAAATTAACCACAAAAACTTGGAAATAGTTTACATTTATTTCTGAACTGTTGCTTTACTCTCAATAAAATCTTAATTCATATGTCTTTAAAATTAAATACTGTGTATTCTAACTGTATTAACGAGTATTTTGTGTAACAAAACCAGAAGACAAATACTGATTCTGTAATTCTATAGAAAATGCCTTCATTTGTCATGGCCAACTGAGGGCTCATTTACACTAGAAAATAAGATCAGCCCAGCTGTGTTGCTCAGGAGTGTGTTACTCAGCTTTCTGCAATGTAGCAAGCTGACCTGAATCCCCTTGTAGACAATACTAGGCTGATGGAAGAATCCACTTCTCAGGAAGGTGGATTATCTGTGCCAGTGGGGAACCCATTGCATTGCATAGGTGCCATTTACACTGAAGCAGTATATTTGCACGCTTGCAGCATTGGAGGTGTACTGCTGTAGAGTTTTAAGTATACAAGTGCTAAGTT